AGAAATACATCTTTATTTCCGAGTACATATTGACATTTAAAAAAAAATCGAGACGCTACATAATCTTATCTCCAATAGTGATAGATTATGTAAAGCAATGTCATGTGTTTGAAAAACGTTTACACATCCCATAAATTTTTTCATAAAAGGCACTGGTAGTTGAATCAAAATTGGAGATATTTACAAAATTCTAGGTCACCATGTAAACTAATTTTAATTGTTTTTTTTTTTTTTTTTTTGGGGGGGGGGGGGGGATATTGTTAACTTCTTCCAACACGTGCATGTATTTATTTATAAAAGCCTACTGAGCTCATTTTCGTAGGTTACAAAAAATATTTTTCGCGTTATAACGCGTGACTTTCGCGAATAAAAGCGAAACTTTAGCGTTAAAACGCAAAATTATATAGTCATGTTAATCAGGAATCCGTGATACTGGCGTATCATATGCTGGGTGGTGCATTTTTCTGTTAAATTGAATGCATTTTCTGATAGTTTTATTGCTCTTTTTCCAGGAGGCTTTAAAGGCCGTGGCCCGAGTATAAAAGGTAGCCAATCGAAAAATGTTGGGGAAATTCAACTTTCTATGCAGCTTTCAGATTTGGGAAACAGTTTTGAAAAAAATAAGCTTAATTTCATGCATTTAATAAATTCCAATTTTTGGCATGGAAGTAGCTACCATGTTTGTGAATAATGTTTCCATCTTTTCAAGGTTAACAAATATATATTTCTTGAGTATTTTAGCAACAAAAGCTTCTGAAGCTGCACTGAATTTTTAATTTCTTCTTATTTCTTTCTATCCTGTAGGCGGAGATAACCAATGTTTTGTTTACACAGGAAGTGGCTGTAGCCATGTGCTTCAACAGAGTTTATAAATAGAGTTTTCACGTCTCTTTTATTTGTTTTATAGCTAATTTAATAATCTCATTTCAAATATATTTAGAATAGAAAAATATTAAATTAATATTTCTGAATACAGTATAATATTACTCTCCTTGCATTTATAACTGTTGCTATTCAGCATAACATTGACTACGCTTCTTCTTGTGAAATTGCGGTTGCAGCTAGCCTCTATCATTGGCAAATAAATGTTTGGTTGGAATGTTTAAATAAGGACAACGTTATCTCTCATGTCCTTTCAACATTTCAACCAAATACAGTGTCTGAAGGTCGTCCCGTTAATTTACTGGTCCGACATCAACATTTTCTGTACATGATACCCAAAGACAAAAATTCAAAACAAAATGAAAAAAAAAAACTCCAATACATTGTAACTTTTCTCAGCAGTCTTATGCAAACCTGTCGCATAAAGTTCCTGACAAAAATACCATAAATAATGAAAATTCCCATTCCAAGAAAAATGCAGATGATCATAGAAATGTTAAACAAGAACATTCTTTTCTCCAAAATTACTCAGATAAACACAATGCTGACCAGTATGTTTCATTTGAGCATTCTTATGCAAACGTGTAGATAAGGTTTTCAACAAAACTGATCACCTGAATAATCATACCGAGCATTCATATGCAAAAATTTGTTCAGACACACAACATACAAATACTGACTACACTTTCTTTGAACATTCTTATGCAAATTTCTCTCCAACTGAAGATGTGGACAATTTTGTTCAATGTCAAGAAAAAGCAGAATATAATACTAGTGAATTAAAAAATTTACTGCCTTCTCAGCAGTCTGAGTCTGAAGTACCTAACTCATTAACAGCATGTAGTGAAAATGAAAAAAAAAAATAAATAAACAAACAAACAATGCATCAATCAGAAAAAGACAATGTACATCACAGCAAAAGAATAAATCAAAAACTCAAAAATTTGCACCTGAACATGAAAAAAAAACTAATAAAGAAATTAGGTCTAAATTATGAAAAACCAAAAGAAAATGAAACATATCAAGTTTATGTAGCTAGAAGAAAAAAAAAAATCCTGAAAAACATTAAAACACAATCAGAAAAGTATAAATTGAATCCTGACGATATTCCACCACCTCCCCCTCTTCATGAAAATTCTCATTACAATAAAACAATGGATTCAATTAGGGCTTTTGAAATTCAGCAAATGTCTTATTCTTTTAAATTTTGCACAATTTGTCATGAGAGAAGACTAGAAATGAACATGGCCAAAACTGACATTTGTAGGAGTTCCTTTAGAGATAAACAACAAATCAAAATGTTCTCAGCAGAAAACAACATGGACCCAGGCACATTACCTGAAGAACTTCGAGATTTAACAAAAATAAAGCAACAACTTATTAGCAGGATAGCTCCATGTATTAATGTTCATATGCTAAATCATGGAGGTATTGCATCATCTGGTCACTGCGTCACATTTCCTCAAGAAATTAATGAGCCAGCCAGAATTTTTCCTAGGTTACCTCACGAAATTCAAATTATCAAAGTTAGAAAACAAGGGGAAAATGATACATCTAAAGATTTCAGAGTCCGTCGATTAAAAATTGAACAGTCTTTAAGATGGCTAAAAAAATCCAGCCTATTCTGATATTTTAATAAGTGCAAACGGGTTACAAGCAATTCCTGAAGATGGGCAATTAACAGATATAACGGCAATACAATTCAAAGAAAATACTGTTCATAAAAATGACAAAGGACCATCATCTGAACAAGTAGATATAGGTGTAACTGAGGGTTTTACGAATTCTGGTGCTGAACTACCAGACTCTAATGTAAATATTAGACAAAAGGCCCAGAAAATAATAGAGGAAATCCTAGGTGAAAATCGGGGGGGGGGGGTTACAGTTAATAGACAAGGCACTGTTACAATTCCTTGGCCCTCTAAAGGAGATATCCCAATATCTGAATTTACTACGCAACATTTTTTTACCCTTGTTTTTCCTGCCCTCTTTCCCTATGGTTCTGTTGACTTTCACATAAATAGACCCATCACTATATCATGTATGGGACAGTGGGCTGATCATTTATTATGGTATGAAGATGGCAGGTTTGCAAAGCACCATTATATCAAATTTGTTGTTCATAACATGATTACGCGAAAAAGAGCCTTAGAACAAAGTAGCTTTATCATTAAACAGAAACTTGGTGACCAACAATTTACAATTACAGAGTTGAAAAAACTTATTGAAAACGGTGATACATCTGTTTCCAAAAAAAAAAAAAAATCTCTATTTTGGGGGAAATTTAAGTGGGACTACTCAGTGCTTGGTGCAGAGAGGCAAGGAATTAGGAGCTTTGGTTAAATATAAAATAAATGAAAGTGCAGGTCTGCCATCATGTTTTACTACTGGCAGTTGTGCAGAATTTCACTAAACCATTCAGACGATTGCTTTCAATGTATGTTTCTGAAACTACTGGAACCTCTGTTGATCTAACTGGTAAAAATATTCTTTTTAAAACTCTTCAGGAAAATACACATATTGTTGCACAATACTTTGATCTCAGAACACAGTCATATTTCAAAAATGTAATGGGACCTGTCTTTGGAGTTGATTCTTATTGGTATAGGCAAGAGTTTGCTAAATCAAGAGGTATGGTTCACTGGCATAGTCTTTGTTGGAGGTCAGATAGAGAGCCTCATGATCTGTTACATAATGCAATCTCAGCTGGTCTTTCTGAGGAACAATATGCAGAAAAGCTCTCTCAGTGGGCTGCAGAAATCTTTGGTCTTTCTGCTTTGCATCCTGCTGGTAAGGATGAAAATGATAATCCATTCAGAAACTTGTGGCCTCATCCAGAGGGTACTGCTCCTCCTCCTCCTCCTGAAGAAAAGAATCCCTTGTTGAAACTTCTCCTCGACGTCAGCATTTCCCAAGAAACACTTTTGGAAGATCACTCGCTTTTGGCAAATCGTTTCAATTTGCACCGTTGCTCAGATTACTGCCTGCAACCTTCACGATGCAATAATTCTGAAAAAACTTGCAGAATGGAATTTCCAAAGCAATTACGCTCAGCAGATACTTTAGTAAAAGACCAAAATGGATCCTTGCGTTTAGAAATGGAGAGAGATCACCCTGTTCTTGTTCAGCACTCTCGCTTCCATACACAAGGCTGGAGAGCAAATGGTGATATTTCTCTAATTCTTTCAAAAAGTGACCCTTCCAATCCATCAGTAGATGAAATTTTGTAACTGAAAAATACATATCAGGTTATGCATGCAAGGGAAATGAACCCACTGGTGCTCTTTCAGATCTCTTCTCTGATATGGTAAATTGTGCAGATGAATCTTCTGGTGCAACTGCCAAATCACTCTGTACCAAGCTTCTAATCGACACGGTTAAAAGGGACATTTCCTCAGTAGAAGCATCTTATGAGCTTTCTTCCATTCCTCTTTATCGATCTAGTCATTGCTTTCAATCAGTTAGTTTATCAGGGTGTAGAGTACTTGACCAATCTGGAAGTACCACAATTACAAAATCTACAATTGTTGATAAATATATCTCCAGAGGTGAAAATGATAATTCTTCATTATACCAATTCATTTGCAAAAGTGGTAAAGTCCCCGTCATTTCTGGTCCCACTTAGGCACACTGGCCATTAGATAAAAATTATTGTAAAACTTCATTGTTGCTTCACTTGCCAAACTGGCGTAAACTTTCTGACGTTAAAGATGAAAACATATCTTGGACCGAAAATTTTTCTCAGGTTTTAAAATTAGATACTTGTCCAAATTTCATTAAAGCAGACATTGAGAGGGCAAAGACTAAGAAACCGGATGATTCCTTACCCAAAGATGATATTCAAAACAATGAAGTTATACGCCCCAATCCTGAGTTTGGCGAAGTTTGCGCAGATTTTCATTTTAATGATGGTGGTCCTGATTATGACTGGAGCGAAACATCATAAGACTATCCAAATGATTTCCGTGAAGACTGGTGGAACACTATAACCAAAGCTGACAACACAGATGACAAAACTTTAAACATTCCAAATGTAGATCTCCATAAAATGAATCAAGAACAAATGTTAGCATTTAATATTGTTAGGAAAACCTTCCTAAATTTTTCAAACAAATCGTATGACTACAAGCCCCCTTCGCATGATTGACTCAGGTACAGCAGGGTCAGGAAAATGTTTTCTAATCAAATGTTTAGGAAAAGCAATTCGCCTTTTCTTTAACTCAAATAAATCTGTTCAGGTTCTGTGTCCAACAGGTAATAGTGCAAACTTAATCTCTGGTGTAACACTACACAGTTTCCTTAAAATACCCACCCAGTTCAAAGGAAGAGAAATGAAAGCACCAGAGGGTTCTACTGGGGAAAGCCTACAGGAGAATTTATCTGACCTCCATGTCCTGCTAGTTGATGAAAGATCATTAATTGGTTCATATACATTAGGGTGGATAGGTGTGGCACTGGCATTTCAGATCAGACATGGGGAGGTATCCCAGTAGTTGTATTTTAGGGGATGATGTGCAACTTCCACCAGTTTTGGATGCCCCAGTTTATCACTCTAAAATTATGAAATCAGCCTCAATGCATGGACTTCTGGTGTGGCAAGAATTCCAATCAGCTGTTACTTTAAAATCAATTATTCGCCAAGGAGAACAAGAAAATAAACTAAAGGATGTCCTTTCAGCTCTTCGTCAATACCAAGTTACTCCAAGTCAGGCCCAATGGTTACAGCAATTTCAATGGAGCAATATGCAAAAGACACATGGAAATTATTAAGTAGAATGTCAGACAGAGGTCTTTTTTTTTCCTACTCATAGTGAGGAATGGGGTCACAATAAATCAAAGTTATTAGAGATGAATAAAGTTTTTCCTGTTGCAAAAATTATTGCAGTTTCAAAGGGTTCTCACTCCAAAACTGGTGAATGTGAAAAAGCTGGTGGTCTTCTTGACACTCTTTACTTATGTAAGGAATCAAGAGTTATGCTTTCTGTAAATTTGTGTGTGCATTTTGGTCTTTTTAATGGGTGCTCTTTGCATTGTTAAAGATATTTTGTATTTTAATGGAAGAATATCCACCTGCCCTCGCTGATGTCGTAATGGTTGATATACCTAATTACACTGGTCCCCCTTTCTTATCCTCTTATCCAAAACTCCTTCCAGTATTCCCAGTGGAGAGAAATATAGATTGTAGGTGTCACTTTAGCAAAAGAAATCAAATCCCAAAGCGTTTAGGATTGGCAACAACCATTCATTGTTGCCAAGGAACGACCATAGGAAAGGGGGAAGTGAATAGATATATTGTTGTAAACCCTGGCACACGATCCTTTGAATCCAAAAATCCGGGTGCTCTTTTTGTTGCCCTTTCTAGAGCAAATTCAACTGGTAAAGTAATTGTGAACGGTGGGAGACATATCAGTCTCTAACCGAACACTTTTATTCTTAACCCAGATTTCTGATTGTAGGAAGTTCTCTAGTTTATGATTTGTATATATATGACATATATATATATATTCTCTCCATAACTTACTTGTTGTACACAGTATTGTTGTTCTGACTAAATTTTAAATAGTGTAGTATTTCGGATGACCATCTCTGAAATTGAAAATGCCAGTATAACATTTTTTATGTATTTTTCAGCCTGTTGCCCTTGCAGAATTATAAATGGCCAGGTACAACCCAAAATATTTACATTTGCTGTGTTTTTCTACTAGGCCAACTGTGAAATTGATTTGAAAGCTATTTTTATGTATACTCATGCATAGAAATACACACTGAGAAACTTGCGCTAAGTGACGTCACAAGACTACAGAGACGTTAACAAAAATGATGATATAGGGCAGCTAGAAATTTAAACATTATATCTTTGGTGCATTTAAGTATGTAAATATAAAGAATGTTTTTAAGTTTAGTGTGAATTATTGGTATATATTTACATTTTTAAATATTTTTCCTTAGATTCTTTGCAAATTAGAAGACCGTTCATGTTCTCATGAACTACCATGGATGAGCATGAATATCTCCATTGTTACGTCATAATACCGTACTTGACGTCAAACTATAGTGCAAACTATTTTGCTTTAAAACTGACAGTTGAATGGCGTAATTTGTGGTTACTCATCAGAAATTAATGTAAATATAAGATATGAAATTAATTTTTGAAAATTCATGAGGACATGAACTACAGCGCTACATGCCTGCATATTTATTAAGAAGCGCTAACACACTTCATAAAATATGCCGGCGTGAAGCGTCGTAGTTCATGTCCTCGTGAATCTTCAAAAATTAAACTCACTTAAGTAAATCATACAGACTTACATATTTTTCATGAGGTGCTAGTGCGCTTCATAAAATATGCCTACGTGACAAGCCTGTGTGATTTACACACCAATAACTCACACAAAACTTAGAAATATTTCTTAACAGTATTCAGTTTCTCCATAAATCTTCTGAATTAAAATGAAATATAACTGTGTTTTATTTTGAGGTCTTTCTGAAACCCTGTTTCCTTCTGCACACTGCCAGCCTCTTTTTACTTTGGAATGCCTATTTTACATTTTTCTCATATCTGATCATCTAATTCATCATTTCCTGATGTTTTTTTAAACATACTTTTCATTATAGTGAACGGTGGGAGACATATCAGTCCCTAACTGAACACTTTTACATTTACCTGAGATTTCTGAATGCATGGATATAGGTCTTACAGGGTACAATTTGCATAAATATTCCACTAGTTACTCATTAAACACAAAGTTGCACTATTCCTTTGAACTCTTTACTTTTGCAGCTGATGCACCATTTCTTTTCAACTGTTTCTGAAGTGAAAGAATCGCCATTTTTTTTTTATTTTCTGTCATTTTTTTTGTTCCTCTTGTGGAAACTGTGATGTACATATAGGATCTCCCATGGTTTGTTGTAATAGAGATGATTTTTTATTTTTTATTCAAGTTGTGTGTTTTTTTTCCCTGAGTCAGGATAAAAATATCATATCTTTTAAACATGCCTTTTACAGTAGAACATGTCTATAGCAAACATGCATATAATGAATTGACACTTACAGCAAAGTGATTTTCATTCCCCGGAAGTTAAAAATATTACACTTTACAAACTTTACACAAATAATGAATAACGCTTACAAGGAGCAAATTCATCCATCCCTGGCACTTCCATTTAAGCATGTTTTACTGTACATAGTTATCGCAACTTTTACACAGTTTTAATTATGAAAACAAATAACATTTGACTTGATCAAATTCACGCAAGACACTTGTGACATTATAAACCTGTATATGATAACAACATCCTTTGAGTTTTATCTACTGTATAAAGAAGTAGACATGTGACAGAATTTTATTTGATTTCTACAAAAATCATCTGCATTTAAATACGTGGAGCATATCAGTTGTTAAAAAAGGAACTTTTTTTCTAATTAGATATGTCTTTTTTTAGTGCAAGTTACCTTATTCTGCATAGCTCACTTTTTCACACTATTCTGGTCCTTTTCTAGTTTCTGTAATTTAAAATTAACAATTTGTATTTCCCGACTCCTTGCAACCTATACTCAAATTTGATAAGTTTACCAGATATTCTATTATTTTATTTGAATTTAATTGAATGGTTATATCTTTTATAGCCGAGATGAAATGTTTAAGAAAACATTATTATTTATTTATTTTTATTTTTATTTTTATTTTTTTTTTCAAATTTATATTTCTTTACTACTTAAGAGAATGAATATAATAATTGCCACTGACTCTAAAGGGAGAGGATTCCACTCGTATCTCCAAAAAGTGCACCCATTTCCATCTGATTGGCGTGCTACTTTTCTTTTTAAACCTGGGGCATCTATACAAAGATTAAGCCATGAGGCCAAACACTTCCTTCAATCTTTTGACAATTTCAAACCATACCATGTTGTTTTTATGGGAGGCATCTGTAATCTCACAGAAAAAGTTAAACACCAGTCTGGCACCGAAATTATTTATAATCACTCCCTCAACAAAATTCAGTCGCTGATTCAGTGTATTGAAAACACCTTTAAAGAAATTCCGTCATCAACTGCCATCTGTTCTACCGTCCAATTTGCAACAATTCCTCCTGTGTCTCTCAGAAAGTTTAAAGAATATCAAATTGAAAAAGAAATCTTCCATTTCAGTAAATTCTCTTTAGATGAATTAATTATTCAACAGGAAACCATGGAAGAAGACATCAAACTTATTAATTCTACTATTTGTGAAATAAATACAACTTAAAACAGTTCGCCTATACGACTGGATAAAGATACTACAAAGAATTCAATTAAGAAAAGGGGAAGAAATGGAAAAAACAAAAAAAAGATGCTCAAAATTTACTTATGAAAATTTTTATAATGGGGTCCATCCAGACAATTCTCCTTCTGATATATGGTTTTCTAGAATATGTACTTCAATTTCGGCCTTTCTCACAGCTTCATCCAATTCAAAATGATATGACACATTTATTTCTGAGGACGAGGAGGAAGAGAATGACACCTGGGATTTAAAAGAAATTAAATGTTCAAATGTGCATTCAGATAATTTTCATACTTCAAAAACTAAATTTCTCAAGTCATTAATCATTAATCTTCTATAGTTCCTCTTTACTTTCACAAAGTTTAGTATGTTGATGATTGTGAATGGTGGGAGACATGCCAGTCTCTAACTGTCAAATCATTCAACTTTTACTTTTAAACATTATAAATTAATCTACAGCCCCTTTTTTTACTTTTAATTGCAATATATTAGTATATACAGTGCTGCTATCCCACAGGTTGACATGGTATGGGTTTGGATAGGATTCAGGATTGAGGATTCACGATAGAAACATATAGCAGTTAATCCAATCCCATCCTATCCTGTATCCTACAGCCAATCAGATTCGAGTAAAGGTTGATTCATATTTCAGAATTAATTACCAAAACGGAATATGTTTTAAAACGTTTACAAAGGAAATATTTATAAAATAACAATAGAAAATAAACATATTTTGTTTGTTTTAACGCAAATTAATAATTAACTTCGAGTGACATTGCGTACGATTTAACCGTGAACGATCACCGGAAGAATCTTCGCATGTAAACAACGAAGAGTTAAGTAAGTAAGTAAGTAAATTTTATTTAAAGTCGGCATTTTTTACAAAGTTTAACAATGAACATAAGCTCTGTAGAGCTCTTAAACCGACTATCACAGCTAAAAATATCACAGAGAAAAACATTTACAACATAAATTAACATGCAAAAAAAAAAAAAAAAAAAAAAAAAAAAAAAAAAAAACCATGTACATATATACACACGCATGGCAGATAAAAGAAATTTAAAAATTAGAAAAAAGAACAGAAAACTGAAGAGCAAAATGATTGCATTAAGAACAAAAATAAAAAAAACTAGTAGACTAATTGTTCTCGAACAATTAGAGGTCTTTCCACCTTCTTTAAATTTCATATATTTTTCATATTTAACTCTCTATTGTTTATTTTTATACAA